CCAGCTAGTTTCTTGAAGGACCAGCATCCTCAGGCTCTTCATCCACAGCTATACCCACCTACGTCCAGCACCCATGGTCTAAGCGACTGACGTCACCGATGTCACCCACCGCCCTGCTCCCTCGCCCTGGTGACATCACCCCACAGCTCTGCGTACTTCTGAGACCCATCGAGCCAGGGCAATTTGGGTGTGTAAAGCTAAATGTGTTATCATTTTCGCCACACATTAACAGTTTCTATGTAAATATTGGTATTTCCTCACCCCATGAAGGCGAGAGGAGGCAAATGACACCGGCGCGTTTGATTTAAACTAATTAAAAGCAGAGGGTCATGCAATTCAATATATTGATTTTACCAGTGGGACTTAAATCTTTTATAATAAGTGTACACAGCTGCGGGGCTCTCCTACCACCAGGCTTTAAAGGCTAATCCTTGCATTCCTCCTGATAATACATGACAGGTCCCACACATCCCTGCCTGTGCCCTAACCCCTGGTGACACTGCCCAAGTGCAATAAGGCAAACAATTGCAGCGACTTGCCAAACACGCACACACAAATGAGCGTGTCGACAGCCCCCAGCCAGATCTGCAGAGTGATGGTGAAAAAGGAACGTGGCCAGCCGTTCGGTGCAAGGGATTCTCCGTTCGAAATATTCAGCTGGTGACACGGATGGGCAGGCTGGGGAAGGGTGGGGACAAGGGGAGTGTTAGGACACTCTGATTCTCGCAATGGGCCAAATATGACCTTACCCAAATAGGGGGAAATGTATTAAAGGGATAGGGGTGATCAATCAACTTAGACGGACTCTCCCTGGAATGAAGTCATCACTTGTCTCTGAGTTCATGGCCACGTGATGCGCGCTCACATCGCAGGCATTCTGGTGGTCAGGGCGCGTACACCAGCTGTGTTTATCTCGGCAGAGGCTGAGAGCCTGCTCCCCGACGTGAGGCCCAGGCCGAGCTCCCGGGGCCGCGTCCCAGAGGGTGCAGTCAGAGAACAGGCCCTCGGTGGCCCTGAAGTCCATGTGTATCTGGGCCGCCTCCCTCACCCCTTCCAGGGGACACTCCCCAACCGAATGACAAGCCTGGAATAAAAGCTATAAATAGCCACCCAAGCTGGCATCCAAGGCTCAGCCTTAACCTGCTTCGGTTCCAGAAGAGAAACACAAAAAAGATCAAAAAAGTTCAAATCTGGGTCACACAGATCCTTGGGAAAAGGTGGGGGGGGGGGGGAGAAGATCTTTGATTTATAGAAGCAGGAAAATGAGGTTTAAAAGAAGTGATTTTGAAAGGGTTACTAAAAACACAGCTGTCGGTGCCGTCCTCGAGCGAAGGCGCTCTGCAGAGAGCAAGAAGAAAGAAGGGAAACCCGGTGACATCTACATTAACCTCTCTGGCTGCTTACCAGTGAGGGCCGCGCTCCGAGCGCTGGAATGCGGAGCAGCCCCTTCCAAATCTTAACACAAGCCAGGTTACAGCTGCAGATGCCTGCGGCCCATGCTCCCCTCCCGGAGCACTCCCCGAAGGACATTTCTAAACTGTAACAGAACTCTTTTCTAATACTCGACAGTGGTAGGGCCTGTTCTTAAGGGGCAAAAGGAGAGATCTTAATGCCAAACACTTGTCGACAAAAAGGATCGCCGGATGGTATAAAGGGAAAGTCCGGCGGGAAGGCCTCTTGCAGCCACAGTCACAAAAGCCACCTTCATGCACAGGAGGCCAATGATGAGAGGTTTCCAACTTTCTCTTTTTTTAATTTAGCTCCGAAGATTAAACAAAGCCGGTGCCTTCATAGGCTGGAACCAGAGATAAACACACACTGCACACCCCTCCTGCCGGCCGGCTTCTTCAGAAGATTCCAAAAGAAGCGGCTGGATTTCTCCTAAGAAAGAATGGTGGTAGTTGGTGGGGGCGGGGGGGGGGGGGTGGCGAGCTCCGGATTCGGCTACAGAATTCACATTGCCTGGGGACTATTTAAGAGCGGGTAGCCTGTTTTGAATTCCAAAAATTAAGTCTACACAGAGGAATCGGGGGCTTGTTAATCCAAACCAGTTTACAAATCTCGCCTTTGAACTTAAGGGGCCCAGGTTGGGAAGCTGGGGTCTCAGTTCGGGAACTCAACCAGCACCACCCCGGGCTTCACTGTACGGGCTGGTCTTTGTCATAAGGTGCGTTCTGAAGCCCTCATTCTCGGCACCTGGTTTTGTCATACATTCTCTGGTTCCCCCTCTAGTTTAGATCCCGCTCAGCCTGGCGAAGAGCTTGAATTCCGAGGACTTATAGGAACAAAAACCAGTTTGGCTGCAGACAGAAGGAAGAACAAACACACCAGGTCTGCAAAAGCCTTCAGAATCCAGGCAGAGGTCTCCCAAGCCTGCAGGACAGCTCGTGAGGCAGTGCAGGGAGGAGGGGCCCGGGGAGAAAGTCAGCCTCCCCCCCAAGATCTCCATCAATGCCCCCTGAAGGCCCCCCTCAGGTCCCCTGCATGATAACAGTAATGGTTTGATATGGACAAGGGACATTTTCTCACTCTTAGGTAAAGTGTGAGACTAAGCACACCTTTGGAAAACTGTGTTACAGATCAATATGATTTGCAATCCGGGGGGAAATCGTGTGTTTTCTCAGCTTCCAGGCAAGTTTCCTATACGCCCCACCCCCTCCAACCCCAGGGCCACCCCCAAGCCCCTCCTGGGGAGAAATTCCAGAACCACAGCAGAATGGAAGGGACAGGCGGTTTATTCCCAAGCCGAGCAGAAATAGGTCAACCTTGGAGGCGTCTACAGAGGGGTCTTGCCAAACTGCAGCCCGGGGTGTTCACAAGAAAACAAGGTCAGTGCACTCTGTTGAAAAGCTACTCTGCCATCTAATCTGGAATGATGTTCCAGAAAGCAGGACTTGAGAAAGTCAGGACTGCCCCCACAAAGCCCAAAGCCAGCCCGGCTGATTAAGAGGCTCAGACAAGCCGGTCTTTGTCCTTTCAAGATGAAAGAAATGGGACTAACGGGGTTGAAAGGTGTGTGTACAGCCGGAGGAGGAAAACCACCCAGTTGTGGCCTTCCCAAACAAGTCTCAGCTTGCTCCCACCATCAAGGGGAGCAAGCAGCCCTGCCCCAAGATCCCCAGGGGCACCCAGTTGGCAACCTAGTCCTTCTCCAGTGAAGGGGGTGGGGCCCCCAGGTCTGGCCCTGCTACTGGGTACTTTTTGCATGAGATTTGCAAAGCCAGGGCTTACAAATACCTTTTTAATGACCCCAGCCAGGCTCCGAAGGCGGCCGCGGGGACCTGCTGCGTTCACTGGGAGTCATGGGTACCCGGCAGAAGGGGATGCCATAAATCCTGGCCAGAGAAAGGGCCCTGGTTAACCCAGCTTCAGAACAGCTACAGAGCTCTGCTTTCATTTCCTTATTTACATGTATTTGGAATTTTTTCTTCAGTTTCTGGCATAGGTCATAAATGCACATTGTAAAAAAAAAAAAAAAAAGTCACAGACAATGAAATATCAGACTCAGCTTCCACTCCTGAAGCCCCAGCCCCAGAACTGCCTGCGTCCCAGGAAACTCCTTCTCCAGGAGGCGTCTTCCTCCAGGGGGGAGGGAGATGTACGAGCACATATGTGACCTCACTGATCTGCACCTTGCTTTTTTCCACCCCATACATCTTGGAGACTGTCCTCAACCAGGACACATGGAGCTGCCTCATTCTAACAGGCTGCTCAGTATAACTGACACTTTCTTGAAGTCATTCTGGCATCTCAACCCCCCACCGCTGGCCCCCTGAAACTCCTTTCATTATTTGATTTGGGGCTGTTATTAGGGACAGACAATGGCATCTGGGGAACTCCGGGACCTTATCTAGAGGGGGGAGCATTAAGGCTGATCCTGGCTTCCTCGGGTCCTCCATCCAAGCCCCCAGCGCCCGGCGGGGGCTTGAGGATCCGTATTTCCACGTTGACACAGCGCCTGTGGGCGTGAGTTTGCTGTCTTTATTCCGTTCGGATTTTCGCAGCAAGTTACGCAGGTAGAATGAAAGCGGCTCAGGAAGCGGCGTTATCAGGGCGTGTTATCTCGGAAACCAAATATTTGATCGTCAGCCCTACAGAGCGCTGCCGGGGGTTAGTTTGAGCAAGTCTGGTAAGTGTGCGTGCACAGACGGAGGAGGAGGCACCCCGCCGCAGCCCCAGCCTCGGGTCTCCCGGCCGGGCCGTCGCGGCTCCAGCCCGGAGCCGGGTCCCCCCGCCGCCCCGGGCGGCGTCTGCTCGGATATCCCGCGCCACCCAATCGCCAAAAGCCGTGGTTTGCACGCCACATGTGATAAACGCTGAAAATGGATTCTGCCCGCCCGGGACCTATCATTAAATATTTAAAATAGAAAGCTCGCAATGGCAACGTTTCTTCCCCAGCTCCAGCCAGGAGAGCTGAAAGCGAGGGGGCGCCCGGCGGCCAGGAGAGGGGCCCCGAGGCGCCCGGGGCGCGCGGCAAGCTAGGGCGGGCGCACCGTGAACGGACAGGTAGGGCAGGCTTTGCCAAGGAGGGGAAGGGGGCACGACGCCCGCGATGCCAGGGCCAGACGGGGCTCAGAGGGGCCCAGAAAGGGCGGGAAGGCAGCTTCGCCGAGCAGGGCCCTTTAAATCCAGGTAGCGCGGAACGCGCCGGCCGGGCACAGCTCACATGACCGAGCCCCGCGCTTTGAACTGAGCCGCGGCCGGCCGGGCGCCTTCAGCCCCAGAGGTGCGGCCGCCAACTTAACCCGGAGGGGCCTTCGGACCAGTTCTTTCCCCCTCAAAACGCCCACAGGCCAAATGAGCCTAGCCCGCCCTACCTGGGCGAGCACAGCGTGGGGTCCACAGGACCCGGGGGGAGGAGAGCCTGGGCCAGGTACTGCGGTTTGCACACGGCCAGGGTGGAAGGAGGTGTGGGCTGGATGTAAGAAGCGACCCCCTGCTCCCTGTTCCAAAGCGTCTGCTGGCCGAGCCGGTCCCCCCTCCCTCCTGCCCTCACTCACCGAGATTGACGAAACTCATGACCATGTCGGCGTCGGTGAGGAAGTGGCTATCTTGTAGGCTGGCCAGAGGGGGGCCCTGGGTACTGAAGACCGCCTTGTAGGGGTAGGAGAAGCCCTGGCCGTCGGGCCCGCCGCCCTCCTCCACCGCCATGGCATTGTACAGGTCCAGCATGAACATGGGCGCTGAGTTGTGCTTGCCCTGGAGGTGGGGGCGCGGGCGATGGGGCAAGCCCAAGATGGAGAGGATCTCGCGTTGCATCTCCCGCCGCTCCTGGCTGCGGAGGCTCCGGTGGATGAAGCTCGAGTGCACTTCGTTGTCCAGGCTGAAGTCGGCCAGGGCGGAGCGCAGCAGGAACAGGGGCGCCCAGAGCGCCACGAAGCTGTGGGGCGCCGCGGCGCGCAGCGAGCGCACGTGCATCGCGCCGGCTCTACGCGCGACCCGGGCTCGGGGCACCCGGCACCGGGGCCCGCGCCGCCCCAGGTGGCGGAGGGGTGCAGGGGGCGGTCCACGCCGCTCGGTCACTTGCTGCAGACGGGCCCCGCGGTGCCCGCGCCGGACATGGCCCCTCCCCGGCCCGCTGCTCTCTGCCCGGACCCCCACCCCCGGATCGGCGCTGGCCCAGGGGCCCCTCGCCCCGCACTCGCCCGGGCGCACCGCACGGCTCGGAAACCGGCTCGAGCGAGCGAGCGAGCGAGCGAGCGAGCGAGCAAGGAGGCGGGCGCGTGTGGGAGGAGCAGCCAGCAACCCCAGGAGCCGGGGGAGCGAGCGCCGGGGAGGCGGCAGGCGGGCGAGCGCTCCTTTTTCCCGCTCCCCTCGCGCTCTGGCCCTCGGGCGGCGGCGAACCACCCTCTTTCGAACCCCAGCGCCGAGAGCAGGGGCCCCAGGTCGCTCTCCAGGCCCTGCGCGCCCTTGTTCGCGGGAGAGGCCGCCGCGGGAGCCCTAGAGTGGTACGCGCTGGGGCCTGGGAGGAGGAGGAGGAGGAGGACGGGCTTCCAGGGGCCCCTCCCGCGCCCGCGGCCTCCCACCTGCCCTCGGCCCCGCCCTCCCCCCAGCTGCGCCCAATGGGTTCATTCATTCCTTCTAGAGCGCTCTACAAATATTTACCGAGTGCCCACGGGGTGCCCAGCGCCGGGCCGGGCGCCACAGGGGTGCGGAGGAAAGAATCCCTGCCGGCCTCCCTTCCCCGCACCGGCAGTCGGGACAGGGAAGGTGGCCTGAGAGGGACCGTGGGGTTCGGACCGAAGGGGAAGAAGCTTCCGGAGTGTGGAAGGTGCGCGGGAATCCGAGAAGGCTCCCCAAAGGAGGGGACCTCCAGCCCCTTTGACGCCCTGCCTCCATTTTCTCCAGCCTCTGACCCCTCAGTGTCTCTCCACCTTGACACGGGTTTGCCTTTGCACTTGCCATTCCTCCCTGATTCCTCCCCCACCACCTTCTTCAGGGCTGGGGCTGGCCAGCCCTCCTCCACCTCCAGGGGCCACTCAGGTGCCACTTCCTCCCAGAGCCCAGCATAGCTAAGGTCACCTCGCGGCCTCGTTCCCACACACACTTGTTTTACTTTCTTTAACTCCTCTCACCATCTGGAATGACTGAGTTGCTCGTGCTTTCTTTACTGTCTTGTCTCCCCCACTGGAAATGACCCACCTGGGGGGCCCAGGCTGGTGCGTCTCCTGGTTGCCCTGTACCCACAGTACCGTGAACCGGCAGCCGCTGTGGCTGCACAATGGTTTATTAAATGAATTCATTTATTAAACAAATAAATGAAATTGTGTGAGCTGGAGAATCCCTCCCACCTCCTCCCCCTTTGGGCTCTGTTTGTGTTTATCCACACCTCAGCCTGAGACCAGGCACCCCAGCCTACCACTGTCTGACCATCCCCATCAGTCCCTGCCTGGCATCCAGTTTGTATCAGGCTCACCTCGGAGGGTCTGTGCTGGGACCTCACTGGACAGAGAGCAGCTCCTGGCCTCCCTTCCTCCCTCCCCTCATTCGTTCATCCCACAAACAAATAGTGAGCCACCCACTCCGAGCCCAGTTCACACTGGGCACGGGCACAGGCTCCCCAGACGGCTTGCAACCTGCTGAGGGACCTTAAGTGAATTATTGCTCTTCAGGGCCTTGGTTTCTTCATCTATAAACATGAGATCAATAGCTCTGCCCAGAGTGGTGGTGAGAAAGAAAGATGGGGGACAGTTCTGCTGGGCCGCCTTCTGTGCTGGGACTGCTCCACAGAAGCGAGCCCACCCACCAGTGGTTCCCACATGCGGGGCCAGGCAGCGTCAGCTCAGGGCATCGGGACAAAAGGTGCATTTGGGGATGGGTGTCCTTTGGGAGGGCGTCTGGCTAAGCCTCACCTGGGGCGGAAGGACGCTCCAGGAGCTGCTGCCGAGGAACCGGGTCTTCTAGCTTCTCCGCAGCAGAGGTGGCTCTGCCAGGAATCCCTTTGGGACTCTGGGGAAAGATGGCAGCCTGAGGGCCCGCCAGGCAAGCAGCAGAGGGTGCAGGGCCGCTGGTCCTGGCCACTCATGTCACACGGGCAGGCCCTGCGGCACAGGCCCGCCCAGGCTGAGGGAAAGGGACCCGAGGCCAGCACCCCGGGCTGCGCTTCTACCCCCGGCAGTCAGTCAGGCACCCCGAAAACCCCCTCCACCTGCCCTTCATCCATTCACTCCTTCCCTCAGTGCAGGCTTGCTGAGCACCTCCAGGGTGTCAGGCAAGGTGGGCTTCATGAGTGGGCGACCCAGGCCCCCACAGAAGGCCCCCCGCGGGGTTGAATGCCCCGCTGCTGCCATATTACAGTTCTTAATGACCTATGAACAAAGGGCCCCTTTCACTGTGTGCGGGACCCTGAAAGCCAGGCAGCCATCCCGGTGCCAGGCACAGTGCTAGGCTGGAGGGTGCCGCAGTGAGCCCATGGGTGGCCTCCATCACAGGCTGGCTTGCTGGCCAGAGAGGACAAAGCAAGAACCTTAAGTACAGTTCGGGGTAGGCCGGGAGGGGGCGGGGTGCTTAACTCTGGAGCCAGAGCAGTGGGGCGCGCTGGAGGGTCCAGGGGAAGAGACCAGGGACAGGCAGTGTAGACGACGGGGCACTGAGGCAGGCGGAGGAGTGCTGGCTGGCACCCAGCGTCCACTGGAGAATGTGCAACCCAAACATTTCAGCCTGGGATAGTGACAGGATGGAGTAAGGTGACATGATGGGAGGTGGGGACAGATCTCCTGGAAGAGACCCACTGACCGAGTCCTGGGAGGATGAGAAAGAGATAGCTTTCCCGGGAAGGCAGTGCACAGCCCTGCAGAGCGAGCCGCAGAAACCGGGCAGAAAGGGGCTGCCGAGCTGGCCTTCCAGGGGCAAAGCTGCTGCAGCTGCCCTGCCACCTCCAACTCCAGCAGGGGTGGAGGTGCCTGATTCTTTCCAAGTCTAAACCGAGACTCCTCTGCAGTACCTCCTCTGCTTTTAACCCTCAGATCCGGGGAGATTTCAACCAGCTAGTGAGCCTGGGGAGGGGGCAGCAAGGTACTGGTTCTACCAATTTGCATATGACAGTTGATTGGTCAGCATCTGTCCTGCCTCCCACCCCCAGTCACGGGAAGGCCCTGAAGGATTACAGTCTACCCCTCTACAGCCTACCCCTCTGTGCATCTCCCCAGAGCCCACCTGAGCCTGGCACACAGCAGGGGCTCAGTAAGTACCTGCTGAATGAACAGTAATACGCACAGCCGTATCGATACCTTAGGGCACAGTGGCCTGAGGGCTGACTGTGCAGGCCCCGGGCTAAGGCATCTCCCAGACCCCACTATCCTGCTTCTAGGAGAGCCATCTTTTCTCCTGCAAGATGAAGAGACAACATGGTCTCACACCCCAGACCTGGAAGAGGTAAGGTTCCCTCTGAACTCTCATAGCCCCTGTTTAGCCTTCTCTTTCCTGTGATCCATGCTGGGGGAGGGGTGGGCTCTATGTTCCCTGTTTTCTCCCCTAAAGGAGTCCCCAAGACACCAGGCCCTCTGTGAACGCTTGCTGAATGAATGAATGAATGAATGAATGAATGAATGAAAGCACGCAGGCAGGGACTATCTGGTGGGGATTAGATCGGCTGCTGTCTGAGAGCGGAGGACACCAGCAAAGGCTTCACGATGGTTTAGATGCAGCGGTTTTCAACCTGTGGGTCACGACCCCTTTGCGGGTTGAACGACCCTTTCACAGGGGTCGCCTAAGACCATCAGAAAACACATATTTCCAATGGTCTTAGGAACCGAGACACCGCTCCTCTATCCGTCTCCAAGCAGGTCCGCCCTCATGCAGATACGCCCACAGACACCATGAGGACCTGTATTAAAGGGTCGTGGCATCAGGAAGGTTGAGAACCACGGGGACTCTAGAGGAAGTCTTGGGTGGGAGGCAGCAGCCTGCCTGCCTGGTTTCACACTCCAGCCATGCCACTTGCAATTGTGTTCCAAGGATGTACCCTCTCTGTGCCTCAGTTCCCCCATCTGTATAGGGGGGGTAAAGGGGCTAATACTGCCTCCTAGGGTGGCCCTGAAGATTCAGAAGTTAATTCAATTCACGTAAAGGTGCCCGGGGCACAGAGAAATCACTTGATAAACAGTAGTTACCATCTGGATGAAAGGGAAAATATGTTAACAGGAAAGCCTCCTAAGTTTAAAAATAACAAAAGTTTCATGATGGTCTGCTCTTTGGCTGAGCAGAGACAGTGTTCCCTGACAGATCCAGCCCCTGAGCGAGGCAGAGGAGCGAGTGGCATCAGAGGGGAAAGGACTGTCCTGGCGTCCTGGCGTCCCCCCACTGCTCCCCCCATGCCACCCAGGGCCCAGGAACGCCCCGGGCCCGATCCCATTTCCCCCCGCAGCCAGCCTCCCACCCACCCACCCCCAGTTGCCGTTCCCCAGGCCCAGGCACCCAGCGCGGGACTCCTAGGCCGTAACCGGATCTGCTCCGGTCTGCTCCACACCTGGGGCCCGCTCCCCTGGATGAAAGATGGCCTGGAAATGTGAGGGGTGTTATTGTGTCTGGCCCGCCCCGGCGGAGTGTCCGCACCCCTCGCTCGCCGGCCTCCCAGCGCTGGGCAAGGAGTTTTCATTTCATACATCATCAGTCACATCTTGCCTAAGCGATTTTGACCAAGTCAGCATGTGTCTCGAAGGCAATAAAAAGAAGAAAAGAATTTTGCTGACATGCACATTCAGCGGGAGGTAGGGACCTCATCTTCATCCACAGAACTCTTAGACCATCTGCCTGGAGGAAGCTCAGCTGGCCGGGGCTCCCCGGGGGCACAGCCGAGGGAGCCCGTGGGCTGCTCACTCTGTCCACCCACCTGGCCAGGGCCTGCTGACCTGGGCCTCAGACCCCAGCAGGGAGTAGGAGGCCAAGCGCCTCCCCATGCACAGACTTTAAAATCCTTGCCTGCAAAGAATCCACCCTGGAGAGGAAATCGTTTTAGCACACCTGTAATGAAATGTTGCTTTCTGGGCAAATCTTCCCTTGTATTAGAGATATAGAGTCACTGCTTGCTCACTCTGGGGCTTTCTTCGCACAATTTTTTAAACAGAGGACTAAGATACTAAACAGCTTTATCAGTCTTAAGTCCACGTGGCAGTAGCCATAGTTCCAAATGGAACACACACACTCCAGAGCCAGCTGACGGCCCAGGCAGGATTTCCAGGGTCTCCCATACAGCTAGGGGGAAGCTGCGGTTTTGTTTATTACTGTTATTTCTCCCCTGACTGGAGGAAATCTGGTTTGATTTTGAGCACGACTACTTTGGGTTCAGCTTAGGAGGGACCCTTTCCTCCTCCCAGACGTGAACGAGACGGGCTGGCACCTGCTAAGCCCCACACAGACGGCCCACAGCACCCCCCAACATGGAGGAGCCCGTTCTGCTTCCCAGACCACAGAGAAGGAGCCCGAGGTTCCGAGAGTGACTTGCTCGAA